GTTTCCAGCTTGATCCATGTCCCTGGAAAGAACATGAACTCATCGTTTTTTATGGCTGCATAGTATTCCATGGTGTATATGTGCAACATTTTCCTTGTCCAGTCTGTCATCAGTGGGTATTTGGGTTGGTTCCAAGTCTTTGCTATTGTAAACAGTGCTGTAATGAACATACGTGTGCATGTGTCTTTATAATAGAATGTTTTATAATCCTTTGGGTATATACCTAATAATGGGATTGCTGGGTCAAATGGTATTTCTATTTCTAGGTCCTTGAGGAATCACCACATTGTCTTCCACAATGGGTAAACAGCAGAAGGGAGAATCCAGCTTCTCCTCACCCACTAGAACTCCAGGGCTTTGGGTCATGTCTGTTGGCAGGTCAAAGACCACTATGGGTGGTGCGGTCCAGGAATCTAAGTTCTTAACAAGATCTCTAGATGATTCTAGTGTATACTAAAGTTGGAGAAATACTGACTGTATTAAGGCTATCCATGCTGTTGGCTTTTCCCAAATGGCTCAAGTTCAGAACTTCTCCCCGCCCTTCATGAAGGACCATCCTGAGACGGCTCAGGACCACCCAGCCAGGCCTGGGCATAGAGCTGTGGCCCATTAATCTCCTCCCACCACCAAGCCATTTCCTGTTTGCCACCGCAGATTTTCAGGCCATGAGGAGGAGAGCTGCTCTGACATTTATGTCTCACTCTCCTGATTTAAAATGTCTTCATCACAACTAAAGACACCCTTTCCTCCTGGCCTCCTCTCTGTTCCTGCAGCTGACGGCTGTTTCTCTCTCCTTTGTGCAGCAATCACATGCCTGTCATGGAGATAGAAAAGAGCCAAAGTGGCTGCAATATCATGTCTCTTGCCTGTGTTGTAAACTACAAGTCTCGTCTGGATCACGGGAACTATTATCAACATTGGCAGGCCAAGGGCATGGTGCCAAGGATGGCTCCCTTCTCCAGCATAGGCTGGGGGAAAAGAGCAGATTAGAAAAAGGCCAGGAAGAATTCCCTCCCTCCCTTTCTTCTCGCTTCTGCTTTTATATCCCCCCATTCTGCATCCTGTCACTGGATTCTGGATAGAAACAAACCTAGAAAATGTGTATTATAAAAAATTTGACTGACCAAGGGCACAGATTGCTGTATCTTCCTTTATTTTTTTAGTTTTTGAGACAGTCTCACTCTGTTGCCCAGGCTGGAGTGCAGTGGTATGATCTTGGGTCACTGTAACCTCCGCCTCCTCGGTTCAGGTGATTCTCCTGCCTCAGCCTCCCGAGTAGCTGGGATTACAGGTGTGTGCCACCATGCACAGATTTTTAGTAGAGTCAAGGTTTTGCCATGTTGACCAGGCTAGTCTCGAACTCCTGACCTCAAGATCCACCCGCCTTGGCCTCCCAAAGTGCTGGGATTATAGGTGAGAGCCACCGCATCTGGCTACTATATCCTCCTGTCCTTAGGCTGGTCTTGTATCCTTAATAGCAGAGCCCCTTTCTCTGTGCTTTAAAGGTAGTGGAGGGAGTTGGCATGATCATGTTCTTGACTGAGTGGTTTGTCACTCCATAAATAATAATTATTATCCAGAAGGGCAAATGCAGCCACTCGAGGAAAAAAACCCAACCTGATAACCAGGAAGACAGGAAGACAGACAGATGAAGCTTTGCTCCTGAGGTTGAGACAGTTGGATGGTTTAGTACTTTTAACACAGAGCCTGCATTTATCTTTTGTTTTCTGATTGGGCCTACCACGCAGGTAGATTTCAATGTGCATTCAACAAATCGAGCACCTACTGTGGCTCTGCTTAACCAGTGCTTTCTTTGAGATGGCATCTCGCTCTGTTGCCCAGGCTGGAGTGTGATCTTGGCTCACTGCAACCTGCAGCCTCCACCTCTTGGTTTACAGGTGGGTGCCACCACGCCTGGCTGTTTCTTTTTTTTGTTATTTTTTGAGATGGAGTTTCACTCTTGTTGCACAGGCTGGAGTGAAGTGGCACGATCTCAGCTCACTACAACCTCTGCCTCCTGGGTTCAAGGGATTCTGCTGCCTCAGCCTCCCGAGTATCTGGGATTACAGGTGCCCACGACCATGCCTGTCTAATTTTTTTGTATTTTTAGTGGAGACAGGGTTTCACCATATTGGCTATACTGGTCTCGAACTTCTAACCTCATGTGATCCACCAGCCTCGGCCTCCCAAAGTGCTGGGATTACAGGTATGAGCCACTGTGCCTGGCTAACCAGTAGTTTCTAAAGGAGACTTTTCATTGGAATCACTAGGGTAGCTTTTGAAAAATACGGTTCCCTACTTTGAGATTCTGTGTCAGTCTGGGATGGGGCCTTGGCATCTGTATTTTCACTGAATTTGGGAAGCACAGCCCTATACTACGGCCAGTGCTGTGTGGATACAAAATGACTAAAACTCCCCTATCATCTTTGAGGAGCTAATGATCTATTGAAGCTGGGAATTTAGACACTGTAGTGTTATGTTCCATTAAGTTACAAGACTAATACAGAGCTTACGTTGGAAAGCAAACAGAGTGGGATAGAAAGGCAAGCCTTTCCACTGTGTTTGTGAATTTAGATATAAAATGCACTTCTTTTTTCAGGCTTTCAAAGGTCAATCATTTTGTTGAGGATTGGGGCAGGGAGTAGCATGCCAGGCCTGGAGGGTCATTGTTCTGAAAGACCCTGATCTAATCCAAATCTCCCAGTTCATGGTTGAAGATACTGAGCTCTAGAGGTAACACGACCTGCTGGAGGTCACACAGCGGACTGCAGGCAATGGAGCCAGGACCTCAGGCTTGGAGAGATTCACAGCCCTGGTGCTTCAACACACCATGGACCAGAGCAGAGTGAGGGTTTTGTCACAGACTTGCTTCTGCAAACCTGGCCAAGCTGCTCAGCTGCTGCCATAGGGGCTGTGGGCGGCATTTCTCTTCACCTCTATCTCTTGAATTTCCTCAGGCTGAGGGGAGTCACCGGAAAGGCTGTTACTCTTGGGGAACTGGAGCTACATCTTGAAAGGATTGCTCAGTGTACCTCACATTAGGGTTCCACAGATCATCCTGATGGCATTGGGGTCCGGATCATTGCATACTGCAAGGGTATCCCCCTCTGACCTATAATTCTCCTGACTGGGAAAATCTAGTTAAAATAAACGTCTAGAGAAATTGTTATCATTGAAACAGAGTTAACACGTGGATCATTGTACTAGCCAGAATTCCTCAGAGAAACAGAATAAACAGGAAGAGGCTTATGATGAGGGACTGACTTAGGCTAAGGCATCCCATGATCTGCTCTTTGCAAGCTGGAGACCTGGGAATGCTGGTGACGTAATTCCAGTCTGAGTCTGAATGTCTGAGAACCAGAGGAGCGGATGGTGTAAATCTCAGTCTGAGGGCAGGAGAACACCAACGTTCCAGCTCAAACACCCAGGCATGTAGCAAAAGGGACAAATTCCTCCTTCCTCTGCCTTTTTGTTCTATTTAGCCCCTCCACGAATTAGATGATGCTGTCCCACATAGGGGAGGGCTCACTTTACTGAGTTCACCAATCCAAATGTGCTGATCTTTTTTTTTGAGACGGAGTCTTGCTCTGTCACCCAGGCTGGAGTGCAGCAGCAGGATCTCAGCTCTCTGCAACCTCTGCCTCCTGGGTTCAAGCAATTCTCCTGCCTCATCCTCCCGAGTAGCTGGGACTACTAGCATGTGCCACCACACCTCGCTAATTTTTCCAATTTTAGTAGAAATGGGGTTTCATCATGTTGCCCAGGCTGGTCTCAAACTCCTGACCTCAGGCGATCTGCCTACCTTGGTCTCCCAAAGTGCTGGGATTACAGGTGTGAGCCCTGATCACACCTGACCTCAAATGCTAATTGTATCCAGAAACAGTCTCACAGATACATCCAGTTTAATTTGGGTATCACGTGGTATAGTCATGTTGACACATAAGAGTAACCAACACAACCTTCAGCAGCAAGACTGCTGGTGAGGAGGGGGCAGCCAGATGGAAGTGTAGCCTGGGGGCAGGGTGCCGGCAAGCAGACAGAATGAAAGGGGACAAGCACTGGTGTTTTGAGAAAGCCAAAAGATTTGTCTCCCTTCTGTCTTGGGGACAAAGGAGAGGGTGCTAGGAGACAGGATTTCTCCTGAATCTTTCCTTTCCATGCTGGAGATTGGCTCTATCACCTCCTCTACCTACCTCTCACTGTCTTGAGTGGTGTTACTCAAAATGATTGCACCAAGGTGACATGGTCTAGGGAGGGCTTGGCTGCCTTGGCTATGTTCATTGGCTTGTGGACTCCACATTTTTCACCTTTATAACATAGAGCAGTATAATCAGCGTCTCAGCAGGTCCAGGGACAGAGAAGAAGTAAGTGGGCTACTTTAAAAGTCAAGGACACACACAGAAATACATACACATTAGAGGAAGAAAGCAAATGGACTTGGCCATCTCTTGGTAGTTGAATACATGTAGAAGGACAACATGGCTAAGATGAGGCTATTCCTGAATTAGGCCTCTTCTACCCCAGTCCCCAGTGGGAGCTTGCAGAAAGAGTCTGTGAGGCTTACCCAACTTTCTCCCTTCGAGTTAAAATTTGTCCAGTTGGAAACACTGAAAGGCAGCCCGCAGGTTCGGGCCACGCTATTCTCAGTCAGGAAATGCTAAGGAGGCTTAATTCAGGAGCCCAGCAGAACCCACCTGCTCCCTGGTCAGTCCTACTCTAGGCCGTTTTGACCTTATGGGCAGCGTAACTGGGTTTCTGCCATTTGGTACAAACTGTGCATCTCACTCGCTTTGAATGGGAGAGTATGATCGTTTTAAAGAGATAACACAAACTTCTTGATCTCCTTCTTTCAAGAGGTAGAACTGAATTCCCCACCTTTGACTATGTGAGTCACTTGTAATGAATAGAATAAGGGTGCAGGTGATTACATGTGACCATGACTAGGTCATAAAAGGCTTTGGGACGTCTCACATTTCTTTCTCTTGGGTCCCTCACTCCAGGGAAATGCTGTGAGCAGCCCTTGGGAGAAGTCCACACGGCCAGTTACTGAGGCCTCCAGCCAACAGCCAGTGAGACCCGGAGACTGGCCTGCAACCATGTGACTGAGCTGAGAGGTGGCTCCTGCAGTTCTGTAGCACTGTGGCCCCAGCTGATATAGTGACTGCCACTTCCTGTGAGACCCCAAGATGGAACCACCCAGCTTAAGTGCTCTGGGTTCTGCCCCATGGAAACTGGAGGTAATTACCATTTATTGTTTCAAGTTGGGAAGTTTTGGAGTAACTCATCAAGTTAGATAACTAACACAGGAAACATTCTTGCCCTCTTTCGGTTACTGAGCCTCAGAATTAAACTCTTCTATGGAATCATAAATCATAGAATTGAAAGGGCCTTGGGCCAGGTGCGGTGGCTCAAGCCTGTAATCCCAGCACGAGGTCAAGAAATCAAGACCATCCTGGTCAACATGGTGAAACCCCGTCTATATTAAAAATACAAAAAATTAGCTGGGCATGGTGGCGCGTGCCTGTAATCCCAGCTACTCGGGAGGCTGAGGCAGGAGAATTGCCTGAACCCAGGAGGCGGAGATTGCGGTGAGCCGAGATCGCGCCATTGCACTCCAGCCTGGGTAACAAGAGTGAAACTCTGTCTCAAAAAAAAAGAAAGGGCCTTTAGAGGTGAAGTGGTTTGACTTCCTGGTCTACAGTAAAATAGACGAATGAAGGTTTACTTCCCAAGGCTTTTGTGGGGATTAAATAAAGCAACACAAACAATGTGTCCTGTGTACTGAGCTGAGTCAGTGTCCAATAAGAGCACACTTCTCCCCTCTGGATGAGGAGACGAGGCCCAAGAGGTTAGTGACCTGCCCAAGACCCTAGGGCTAAGCAGCTGCAGAGCTGAGTCCTGAAAGTAATTCCCTGAGGTGCTCAGCCCCGCATTTCTGCCACTGCTTCCTTTCCTCCTGCTTCTCTGCCTTTTAGTCATCAAAGGCACCCGTGGGAGTGCAGGTGGTATCTGAGAAGTGTGAGCAAAGTGTATGGGAAGGTATGGAGACTGCAGCTGGCCAGGCACCGTAGTCCGGTGCTGAGACCACATTTGGTCTAAAAACGCCGACAAGAATCGCTAGAAGATCTCAAGCCAGCAGTGATGAGATGAAGCTGACATCAAGGACGGGAATGGTTGAGATGGAGGGAAGCGGGAGGAAGATAAGAGAGGCCAAGGAGGAGAGCATTTAGCAGCTTCCAGGGGTACACAGCGCCTGGCCCTTCCCTTCACCCCAGCATCCATCCCAGTACCCTTACACAGAGTAGGCACTTGAGAAATGTTTGCTGTCCTTGTGGTTAGTCACGCTGTTGCCCTGCCTCGAATCCTTTCCTCTCTCCTGTCCCATTTGCTAATCCTACCTGTCTTCAAAATGCAGCTTGGGTATTCCACCTCCACACACAAGCGTTAGTCTGTGATTTTACATAATAATAAACTATGTCACCTTGGACTTGCTCTGTGATAGCCGATTTCTCATAGAGCTCCCCTTCCCAAGATAGGCAGGGGCTCTGGGTCTGGAACAGAGCCAGCCCACCCACTCAGGCCTTAGCTCCATGTATAGACTCTGATTCTCCTTTTGCGGGTGCAGACCACTGGCCTGCTCTCCCTGGTTAGCCCCAGTGGTGGGGGGTGCTGGGGAGGAGATATGGGATGGGACTGTGGCAATATCATGCTTCTTACAATGTGAATGTCATTACATTCATATTGTGAAAAGACCTCCATCTCAGTGTGTGCTATAAAGCCAGGGGTCTTTTTAAATTTTTTATTTTTTAATAGGTTTTTTTTTTTTGGCAGAGATGAGGTCACACTGTGTTGCCAAGAGCTGATCTCAAACTTCTGGCCTCAAGCAGTTATCCTACCTTGCAAATCACTGGGATTACAGGTGTCATCCACTGTGCTTGGCCATGTGTTCTTAAAACTTTTTAAGCTATGAGATGCTGAGAACACAGAAGGGACTAATAATGTACCCCAAACCTTACAGAGAGTCCCTTTGCTGATAGCTCAGCTGGCAACTGGACAGGCAGCTCCCTTGGCTGGGGAAAGCCATGAGTGTTGGAGCCTGGGCCACTCGTGACATTGGCTGTGTTTGTGGCCCTGTTGGCATCCCACAACGTGAGACTCTTCTGTGCCTGGGATTTCACTCTGAGCATTGGGTTTTCAGTGGCCCAGTCCCTCTGTGGTGGGCTTCATCTTAAGTGGGCTTCAGAGTCATCAGGTAAGGAAAAGTCTCAGATTCAAAACCATCTTTGAAAAATCTCTGATGTTACCATAAAACCCTTGAGTGTGTAAAATCCTGTGCTAAATTATGTGGCATGAATGTCTAGTGCAGAAAATAATATCCAGTGGGTAATAGGAATGGATCCATATGCAAATATAATTCCACAGCATTTGTTTTTTTTTTTTTGAGATGGAGTCTTGCTCTGTTGTCCAGGCTGGAGTGCAGTGGCATGATCTGGGCTCACTGCAACCTCCACCTCATAAGTTAAAGCCATCCTCCTGCCTCAGCCTCCTGAGTAGTTGGGACTACAGGTGTGCACCACCATGCCCAGCTAATATTTGTGTGTGTGTGTGTGTGTGTGTGTGTGTGTGTGTGTGTGTATATATATATATAAAATTTTAGCAGAGACAGGGTTTTGCCATGTTGGCCAGGCTTGTCTCAAACTCCTGACTTCAAGTAGTCCGCCTGCCTTGGCCTTCCAAAGTGCTGGGACTACAGGCATGAGCTACTGTGCCTGGCCCCACAGCAACTTACATGTGGAAAAGGATCTTTAAACACAGGAATTACAGCCTGTGATTAGGTTACCAGCTGTCCCAGTTGTCTGAGACTGTCTTGTTTTAGCACTGAAAGTTCTGCATCCTGGGAAACCCCAAAGTCCCAGGCAAGCCAAGACAGTGGTCACTTTACGTCAGCATTAAGAGCCGCTCACATTGTAAAGGACCCATGGGACCTGAGGCTGTGAAGCTCGTGATTCCACTGTGGACTGGAGGACAGATTACCGTGCAATTTCTTCTCTCTTTCCCTCTCCCTCCTCCTACTCACAATGTGTGTAATTGAACTTGCATTGGCTATATAAAATATCCTCAAGATAAAATTCCCAGATTCTGCTGGAAAAGCAGCCTCAAACACAGGCTTTTTTAATGCTGAGTGCTTGACATCATGTGCATTATAGAAAGTCAGTACATGTGTCCAGGTTTGTGACTGGTGTGTGCGTGTGGAAGGTGAAGCGTGGTACACAAAGGAGCAGCTTCTGACGCAAGCAGCTTCTTGTGGATTCCTCTGCTTGCAAGCTTCATTCCCTCAATTGCTTATGAGTGGAGTTGACACCTCCCCCGGCTGAGGTTGCTCCTTGAGTTGGGATGTCTTGCAGCAGTTCAAGGGGCCACACCTCCCTGTCACATCTTGCGTGGGACAGGGAACAGCTGCTCAAAGACAGTGGCTGGCATCTACACTCTTAACTCGGCTTTGGAATCTGTGATCTCTCGTCACATCCATACCTTTTGCTTTGGGTCAGAGTTGCCCGGGCAGGAGGTCACTTGGGAAGGTTTCTTCTCCCTTATTCCCTGTCTGGAATTGCTGGCTGATGGCAAGAGGGTTTTGATGGGGTGTAAAGTCTATTTCTGCCGAAGAACCTTTGTAGTGTAGGGGCAAACTATTGTTCAGTTGGAAGTGGGGGATTGAAGCAAACGGATTCATGCATTGCTCCTGCTCTGATACCTTAAAAGTAGATGGGGGCTGTTTAAACAAAGCAAGGAATCAGGAGTCTTCCCCAGGAGTCAAGAAGGGGATGAGACAGGATCGGTCACGTGGTCAGTGGCAGGGGCAAGCAGTTGTGAGAGTGTCCTCCATCCAGCTAATGTGTCTGCTAGAAGACAGTGCAAGAACCCTCCTGCTGGGGCTCTGCACAAGCCCAGAATTTATGCTCCAGCCTCTCCTCTTCTTTTCCTTTGAGAAATAGGCTCTCAGATATCCCTCTTGGTCTGTATTCTCATGCTAGTGTTATTAATGGCCCGGCCATCTAATTAGTTTTTTTCCGGGTAGGTTAAAATGTAATTAGGCATTTCCTCATTATCTCGTGGAATACAGGAGGAGCAGCTAAAAGTCATCTTCTGTAAATGGCTCTAAAGGAAGCTGAGAGAGCAGGCAAGGAGCGGGGCATTAACCAAGGATGGCTATAGGGATGAGCTGCCTCATGCTCACATTTGTTTCTGGCATCAAAGAATGAAGGGAATAGTGGGAGTTGTTGTTGCTCCTTGTTCTGTGATATCTTTTGGGCCAACGTGGGTTACAGCTGTGGTTAGACAGCTTCTGCAAAGCCCTGCTCCTGAAATCCTGAGTTGCCCTAAGTCATTCCATTCTCATTAGGCCTCCCCACTCACCACCTGGCCAAAGCACTCCACAGACTCAGTGACTCACTGGGAGCATCTCAGCTTGGCTTCAGCTCCCCATAAGCAAGGTTTTCATCACCCACCATCCTCACCATCACTCTTACCATCATCATCATCATCACCATTATCGCTGCTGCTGCTTTTTTTTTTTTTGAGAGTCTCTCTCTTTTGCCCAGGTTGGAGTGTAGTGTGGCGTGATCTCTGCTCACTGCAACCTCCGCCTCCTGGGTTCAAGCGATTCTCCTGCTTTAGCCTCCCAAGTTATCTGGGACTACAGGTGTGCCCCACCACGTTCAACTAATTTTTTATTTTTTTTAGTAGAGACTGGGTTTCACCATATTGGCCAGGCTGGTATCGAATTCTAGGCCTCAAGTGATCCGCCCGCCTTGGCCTCCCAAAGTGCTGAAATTACAGTTGTGAGCCACGGTGATTGGCTCCATGATCACTTCTCAAGTACTGTTGTAAGCTGATTACATGTATTTTCTCATTTAATAACCTCATAATAACCCTAACACTATCTCTATTTTAAAGATTAAAAAAAAAACAGGTCCAAAGAAATCAAGTAACTTGCCTAAGTTCACAAAGCTAGTAAGAGACAGCGCTGGGATTTGAGCCCAGGAAGCACGACACAGAGCCTGCTCCTACACTCCTTCCTGCACCTCCTTGACTTAATGATTTTACATCTGGTACTTTTGTGAAGGAGTTGTGAACAGGAAATGCTTTTTTTTGGCTTGAATGGATGACAGCTTGGAGATCCTACGTTTTTTCCATTTAAGCTCACCTCCAAGGACAGGTGGGAATTAAACTTTCCAATTGACATCATCATCAGATTTGTGACATCATCATCAGAAACTGTCCATGAAGCCTCTTCCTCCAATGAGAAAGCCCAAGTAAGCTTTACAGAGTCCGAGACCATGCTGAAGACTCTCCCTTCAAAGCATTCGGTAGAAGAGAGAACACACAGACAGACGAGTCCGATACAATTTAAAGAGTGATACCTGCTGTGAGAGAAGTGATAAAGCTTGGTTGAATTCTTGGGGTTATTACATAAGTCAGACTACATGTCTTTTTGCACGCCAATATATTCACAATTGTGTCCAAGTTAAGGGCTCATGCATTTTAGAGAAGGGAACGGGGGATGGTTCACAGAGTGGAGCCAGGGAGAGCAGATGTAGAAGCCTCATGTCTGGGATTATCAGGGTTCTTGAAGCCTGAGGATCTTCTCATTTCCTTAATGAAGAGAGAACTCCATACAGAAGCCTGGGCTATGGCTAGTTCTTGGGCTATCATGAGCAAGAAGGCAACCCAATCTGTGTGAATAACGGGAAACCCAACTGAACGGCGTTTTATCGAGATGTTTCTGTTTGTATTTCAATGCCAAATGTTGAAAGCAGAAAGCTGGTTTTGTTTTGCTAGGGCTGCTGAAACCAGGAGACGTGGACTTGCAAGTTCCCTGCCATGTCAGTTTCAGCTCCCCATAAAAAAAGGTTTTTATCATCCACATCCTCACCATCACTCTTACCATCACCATCATCATCACCCTTATCACTTCTTCTTCTTCTTTTTTTTTTGAGATAGTCTCTAAGGCCCAGCAATGAGGAAGGAATGTTTAGGGCCCTGCTCGGGGGGCCTCAGCACACGGCCTGACTCCGCGCAGTCATGCTCAGAGCAGCCCTCTGTGTGCCTGACCCCTCCCTCTGTTTCTCAATAGGCGTGGCCTTTGTCACCAGAGTGCTCAGCCCCTGGGACTAACATTCATCTAATTGTCCCGGTCAGAAACCTTGTGCAGTTTTTGGTTTCTTCCTCTTCCACATCACCCAGATATCTCAAATACACCCACTTCCTTCCATCTGTGCTGCTAATGCAGAATTCCAGACAGCAACATTTCTCACCAGGATGACCACACCAGCTGCTTACTTGTCTCCTGCTTTCTCTCTAGTTCCTTCACTTTTCTTTTCTCCTCAGAGTAACCTAGGTATGTTTTTTAAATGATAAATTATACCATATTACACTCCTTAAAACCCTTCAATGGCGTCCCATTACATGTTGGAGAAAAGTCTAAATCTCATAGTATGATTATCAAGGTCCTCCCCTGATAGAGCCCCTGCCCACCTTCCCAATGACACCTCCCCGATCCAGCCCCTGCTCCCCTTCCCAACGTCACCTCCCCTGATCCAGCCCCTGCCCACCTTCCCAATACCACCTCCCCTGATCCAGCCCCTGCCCACCTTCCCAATGTCATCTCCCCTGATCCAGCCCCTGCCCACCTTTCCAATTCCATCTTGTTCCACTTCCCCCTTCACTCATGTAACTTGGGCCACTCTGGCTGCTTTGTATTTTTTAAATTGGTGCAACATTTCCCATATCTGGTCTTCTGACACATTGTTCCCTCTGCATGGGACACTTTTCCTCCTGAATGCTTGCATGGCTGGACTATTTTTTATACCTCAGGTCTTGTCTTAAATGTCCCCTCCTGGCTGGGTGTGGTGGCTCATGCCTGTAATCCCAGCACTTTGGGAGGCTGAGGCGGGTGGATCATGAGGTCAAGAGTTTGAGACCAGCCTGGACAATATGGTAAAACCCCATCTCTACTAAAAATACAAAAATTAGCCGGGTGTGGTGACATGTGCCTGTAGTCCCAGCTACTCAGGTGGCTGAGGCAGAAGAATTGCCTGAACCCGGCAAGTGGAGGTTGCAGTGAGCGAAGATTGTGCCACTGCACTCCAGCCTGAGCAACAGAGCAAGATTCAGTCTCAAACAACAACAACAATAAAATAAAATAAAAAAACCCTAAGAAACAAAATAACAGAAAACAATGTCCCCACCTTAGCAAGGCCTTCCGGAGTGATCTCCTCATCTGGCTCCATCATTGTGCTTTGTTTCTCCCTGGCACTTAGCATGCATTGAGATCACACATACATTTGTTTATATTCTTGTTGAATGCCTGTCTGCTCTCTGCACTGAAGTTCAATGACGGAATGGCCCTGTTAGTTTTGCTCAGCGTCAGTTTACTTTGGAACCCCTAACATAATGCCTTAAAGAATGTGTTGTATAAATATTATTGAATAAATAAATGTTTATTTCAATGAGGTTCTATTGTCCTTTTGTATGGAGGCTAGTACAGCTTGCTAAATGCTTGTGCCCAGGTGTGAGTGGATATTAAAACAAACAGAAAACAAGCATATTTTTAATTTTTTAATTATTTTCTTATTTCGATAGGTTTTGGGGTACAGGTGGTTTTTGATTGCATGGAATATTTCTTTAGTGGTGATTCCTGAGATTTTAGTGCACTGGTCACCTGAGCTGTATACACCGTACCCAATATATGTCGTCTTTTATCCTTCACCCCCTCCCAATCTGCCCCCCACCAAATCCCCAAAGTCCATTACATCACTCTTATGCCTTTGCATCTTCACAGCTTAGCTCCCACTTACAGGAGAGAACACATTGATACCTGGTTTCCCATTGAAAGTGTGTTTTGCATTTGGTGACTTTTCCCCCAGTCTCTCTGTCTCCAATAATGAGCTCAGAATATGAAGAAGAGGTCGGGAAGCCATTTGCCTTTCATCCTTTAAATGAGGCACAAAAGGAGAAACTTCTGGGGATGGAGAAGAAAGAGAACTGAATGTGGCAGGGTTTTGACATATGGAGAGGAGGGTGGTCCCAGAAGGGATCCTTCCGGTCTCATTAAAGATAATTTGCTTCCAGTCCCTGGGGTCATCCCCTCCGCAGAAGAGTGGCAGACGACCTGACATTTGGAGAATTCAGAGGACTCTGAGTTAGGCAAATGAGCAACCTGCTGCTTTGCAGGGGGAAATGAATGGCTCCTAGTTCCTGGGGGAAAGGGAGAGGCCAGCAGAAGTTGCATCTGTGTCACTCCCACCCCCAGTGAACTCGCCAGTTAAGCTCTCCTCCACCACATGGAGAGTCCCATCACTGGAGACGGAGCCACTCTCACTGACTTTGAATCCCAGCCACAAGTGGAATCTGGTCATCAGCAGCTGCACTGTGGGCGCCTCTCTATGTCATTGGCTTCCCGGAGTCACAGGGTCACCGTCTCTATGTAAGCTGTGTCAAAGATTGTGACTTCACACAGTCTAAGAGTGGTCGCTGACGGCTGACCTAACAGTGAGATGATAGTGGCATCCATTTAAATTGGGGGCCCTTAAGCCAGAACTTCTCTCCCATCCCTTAAAGAGAAAATAGGCAAATTAGCCACAGAGAATGGCTCTCCCCTCGTGCTGTACTGCAGGGAGTCCAGGGGATAGTGATGTCTGCTCACCAATGATTTACTGAATACGTGCTTTTATATTGTTGTTTTGTCTTTGTACTAAAACAGTGTCAAATTGTACATGTCAATAATAAGGCACTGATGTGATTTCTGAGCAATCAGTGGAAATGGATGATTAGACAAAATGATGATACGGGACATCTCTTACCGGGAGAGATTGTGTCCCTATCGGGGATTCATATTTATGTCAGAAGAGTTGAGTCAGGCTGTTCTGTGCTCTGGGAAGATGCAAGAAGTAAGACAAAGTAACAGGAGCCACCGTTTTTCAGGGTCCTGTAAAGATCCAAATGTAGTTTAAGGCACTTGATGAACATTGGCCTAATTTAGTCCTACGATTGTTCCTGATCCTCCTGGGGAATCCTACTTCCCATCTGCCTGGCGCGGGAGCAAGAGGCAGAGTGTGCCAGAAAACTGATTTTCAGAAGGTTGGAGAAAATAGAGTTGGGGAAACAACACATTCACCTCTGAGACGACTCAAGAAGTCGGGATTCAACACGCTGACCCAGTCACCATCCGCACCAAGGCTCTCCTTGGCTTGTGCTCATGGCTTTGCAGCTGTGTTTCAGCTCCAGCAAGAGTGAAGACACTGTAAATACGTCCCAGGTGCTTCCTTTCCCCAAAAGCAGAGGTTCTCAAATGAGCAACCACAGACTGCTGGGCCACCACCCTGGTTCTGACTGAGGATGGCTTAGGATGAGGCCTGAGAATGTGCATTTCTAACAAGTTCCCTGGTGTTGCTGCTACTGCCGGTCCAGGGATCTCACTGAGAGCCTCTGCTCTAGAGCACCCAGAGAGGAGGCCCAGCTCAGCATGTACAAAGGGCCATGTTCTTCTGGGTCATGTGGAGTTCTTCCAGTTGCTTTCCTCTTCTCACCTCCCCCTCCTTACTGAACAGGCTGACGAGTGTAAGGACAACTGCACATTCTCTTTCTTTCTGATGAGCTATAATTCAATCCTCTTTGCACTTTTTAGCACATTTTTATTTTCTTCCTTAAAAAAAAGGAGTGTCCTTGAAGACATCCCTTTTTAGCTTTGCTTTGGGGGGTTTCTTGCTGCCTGTAAGAAGCATCCTAGGGAGTCCTACCTCCTGTATCTGGCAGAGTCAGTCAGGAAACAGTTACTCTGTTCGCAAAGGTCAGGCTGAGACCCGATGTCCAGCAGCACCGGGCCCTCGGACCACTACTGTTCTGATGGCAAATGTTGACACGAGCAACCAGGGAGTTGCTAAGGAAGGTCAAGATGGTGCCAGGCGCAGGGAGGCTTTTGAAAATGTCAATTTAATTAGTCAGATGCAGTGAGGGACGCAGAGAGGGCTCCTCAAGGGGTTCTTGTATTTTTATATCTGGGATAAAACTCTCTTCTGTAGCAACAAACTTATTTCCGAATCCTGGTTTTATAAATTGCCCCTACTGGACATGGGGGTGAAGGTTATTGTGAGAGAACAGGCTCAATCCTAGGAAGTCTCGTTCATAAAAAGGGCATAATGAGAGTTTCAATGTCCAAGGGAGAGGAAGGGAGAGGACGCTTTGAACATTTAGCACCGGGCCCGGTGTGTGGTGAGCACTCTGTGACTAGCGGCTGCTCCTTCCATGGATTTGCAAGCCCAGGCAGCCTGTTACAAGTGGTGGGTCTGAGTAGCACGGATGTGCTCGGGGAACAGGGTCTTCTGGGACTCCTCTTGGCACAAGAACATGGCAGACGCTGGCAGGCAGCAGGATTTGGTTATTAATTGGAGCCCGAGCGATGATGCAGGTCTACAGACACTCCCCATGAGGCTTAGTGTCCGGAGTCACTGTGCAAGGTGTTTGTCCCTTGGAAAACCATGGCTCAGAGAAGCAGCAGGGATTAGGATGCCACCCAGGTGTTTGGACTAAATGCTGAGGTGTTTGGACTAAACTCCCAAAGGTCAGGCGCCTTCAGGGCACGCTAGCTACTGCTTCACAGGTGTCGCTGTGGTGGCAGGGGGGAGGACAGCTGGAGGTTGTGACCCGCCAGCCACTCCCATATCCAGAGGGCCTTGGGGTTCCCAGAGGCTGGGAATTAAGGACAATGGGGACATAGGCCAGTGGATCCTGGGGTCCTGATTCGACATTTGATGACTCCCTGCTCTCGGAATTCACTGTCCCTCGGGGGCAGAGCTCCTGGAGCCTCCTCTTGGATTCCTTTCCAGGGAATTTCACTTCAAAATTGGTCTCCATTTTTTGGGACCCCAAAGTGGGTCTCTGGCTCTCGGTGTGTGTCCCCTTGTCCCTAAAGCTGTGGTGGGAGTAACCTGGGGCTCAGCCTGGGTTCCCAAGGCCAGGCAGCTGTGGGCTTCCACCACAAGGAGAAAGAACAGACAGGCGCTGTCTGGCTAGAAGGAAATGCTGGTCCAAGCAGAGCCCTGCAGTGGGCTCTCGCGAGCCTGGCTTCTCCTTTGGCAGGGTGTGTTTGAGTGGGAGGCTTGTTTCTTTGAAAACAAAATTACCTTAACCATTTTCCATACAGGAAATGGCAAACACCCGGTGCTGTGAGTGAGTGAGTGAGTGAGTGAGTGAGTGAGAGTGAGTGCGAGTGTGTGGGTGGATGAGAGGAGCAGAGCCTTGGAGAGCCCGCACGTTCCCTCCCTGGCTGCTCCCCAGGCTCTGCCTGGCTTTGTCCAAGTTGGGCGGGATACCTCCATCGAGGAAGCCAACAAGTGCTGCCTTCGAGTCTCTTTCCAAAGGGTCAATGTGGCCGTTTTAGTCTCTTCTGGGATGTGTGCGTGTGTGTTGTGGGAACGGGAGTGGGGGGCGGGGGGCATTATTAAACCTAAGGCCCCTGATATTTTGATGTGTGAACTGACTCCATCTCTCCCTCCCATACCACTAAGAGTCCCTTTGTCATGAGAACTATTACTCCTAGGACATGTTGTGCTTGTGACTTACTTGGAGGCAGAGGCAAGGTAGAGAAACACTGTCTGCATTCATGCATTCAGTCACTCATTCATTCACTCCACATCACTTCCTGAGCTCCTGCTATGTGCCAGAGCCCCTCTCAGGCACTGGGGAAACTGATGTGAATAGCAAGCTGAAAGAAAACACTTGCTCGTATCCCTGGAGAACGTGCCATCCACGTGAGCCTGGAAGATTCAGATTGGAGAGAAAAAGGGGCCGATAACCCTCTGTTAACTTTGAAAGCCATCACTGTCTCTCTGGGACTCCGCCCCATAGAAGATGGTTGGAAGTCAGGGATATTCAAGGCACTAGAGATTTCTAATCAGTTGACCAGAGCTGGGTGCCCAGAAACCTGGTTATGTGTTTAATCTTCAGAGCAACCAGGCGACCGACCAAAGACAAAAAAATCACCCATAGGCAGACAACTTACAAATTATGTCCTTGGTTCTGGGAGAAGGGGCTCAAGGCAGCCCAATGCACAACACGTCTGGAAAACAAAGAACTCAAGAGGGAGTTACAGATGTCCATTGAAGGTCTAGAGTGCTTTGTATCCAGGGAAGCTGCCTGACTCCAGTGATGGTGGTATTGATGGCCTGCCCAAGATCGAGGGTTTATCCCTAGCTTTGTGGGTTCAAAGTCTGATTCAGCCAGTGTCACGACAGCAGATCCAATGCCTGGGAAAGATTTGCTCTAAACAAATGTATATGCTTGTGGATCAGATCAGATACTGAAACATGCAGCTATCATGCAGATAAAATACATTGTAATGGTCCGCACTACAAAACAATCTTCATGTTGATTGTCAATAGCAGATTGTTGGGTGAGGAGCTTGGA